TCCCTTGGTCTATGTTATTGGTGATCAGGATAAAACCTTTAATTAACTTCACCAAAATGAGGCTGAGAAGACCACGCCAGGGCACAAGGGAGATATGACTTTACAAAGGGGTGCTATCACTATCTCTACAAGAACTGAAAACTTAAAGGCTCCCCAACATTCAAGACTGAAGTTGTTTTTATTTTTCCTGTAATTCAAATCCTGTGATGTCTGGAGCTTTAAAGGAACAGGGAGCAAAGAGAGATCATCCTTGTGGTTCACACCAAGAGGAGGGGGCTTAACCACAAGCAGTAGTCATTATCATCAGACACCTGGAAAAAAATAACAAGATTTAAAATTTAAACAGCATAGTATCTACAGCTGTAGATAATCCATTCCTCTAGCGCAAGATGTATATCATTATTATTTGATCAGTAATGGCTGAAAGAGCTCAAATTATGAGTTTGAAACCAAAACATGGTTTCACTCAAATTATTCAATGCATAATAAACCATTTTCATAATTCAATCAAAGTATAGAAAAATATATTCACTGAATATTTTTTGCATTGAATCTCAAGAAATATTTTGCAAATAAGTTTTGAGGTTTCTTGGCCAGTTCCATTGCTTTTAGGCGGTTATCCCAGGGCACCCAAGCTTTTACAAGTGTGCTTTTCTAGGGTGAAGGAAAAACCACCTCTAGGAGCATGTGAAATCATGTTAAGCTTGCTGCTAGATCTTCAGAAATAAACAAAATTTCTGCTAGGAATGAACGAGTCTGTAACAGGAAAAGCTTCCTGTATTCCCTCTGTCATTATGTGTACTTGGAAATTATCAAATTCTACTTCAGGTCTTAGTAAGAGAGAGACCCTTTCTCTTTTTTTGAAAAAAAATATAGGGGAGTGTAGAAAAATTCAAGAAAATTCATACAGAATGAGGGTTGAGAGGAGGAGGATGTATGGAAAGGTGGTCATTTCATTTTTTTGTTAAAAGCAAATTGAAAACCCCAAAAGCTAATGCCAGAGACATCATCTGCCTAAAGCTCCCAAGGCACTTTACAAACATCAGCTGACATGTCCTCACTGAGGAGAGCATCATTAGCAGGAATTTAGCTCAGGATTAAGAGCATTCTGTGAAGTTAGTTGACATATTCACAACCATGGTTGCCCCACCACTGAGGAGTTTCCCACTCTGACAGTGTCATCCTCTTTGGACACCCTCCTCCAAAATCCTGCCTGACAGCACACAATATTAAGAAGGAATGAAATTAGGTTTGTTTTAAAGATGGGGTTTCTTTTGTGAAAAAGCCAGTGATCCTTTTGTTCAGTATTTCCTTTGTTTTGGTACAACAGGGATGTCAGCCAAGGGAAAAATGAAACATGATCAAGATCCCAAGACAAGTCAATTCCACTAGTGTGCGATGACTGAGCCAGAGTGCTCTGTTAGACCAGCAGCTATAAGGGGAAAATATTTGTGACAATAACAGTGTGGCACCAGAAAAGAGAGGAGTTGCAGCAGGAAAAATTTCTGGAATGAAGAGAATTAGCTAGAGGTCAAGGGCTGGGAGCATGAATGGCAAGGTGGAAGCATAGAAAGAAACGCATCTGGGAGAGAGATCTTTTCTGGGCTTTTGTGTTGTTGGTTTTTGTTTTGTTGGTTTTTGGTTTTTATTTTTGGTGGGTTGGTTTTCATTTTGGTCTTTTGGGGGTTTTTACTTGGTGGTTTTTTTGCTTGGCTTTTTGTAGGGTTTTTATTTTTTATTTTTATCTTTACATTTTTATTATTGTGGGGTTTTTTGCTTTCCTTTGTTTCTCTAAATAGTGGAGGTGGGTAACTCGAGTTTGGAAGTTAAGATGCAGACCTAAACAATACAGTACTGCTAGTGCAAAATCAAATTTCCCTGTCTCTGAACTCTTTGCCTGCCTTGGCTTTTACAGCCTCTGGCCCTTCTTTGCTCCATCTGCCCTTCAGTCACATTTCAGTCTGTATCTGGACAATGCTTTGTGCAGGTTCATGAAATCCTATCAATCCACTCTTTTCAAAGTATCGGGCTAGCAGTCTATCTGCCCCATTGAGTGCAAATTCATATATCCTCCTGCCTCCTCACCCTTTTTCTTCTTTCTTTTTTTTTCTTTCCCTGGCAATTAAAAAAGTAAAATCTAAGACCAAACAAATCAATGTTTACGGATTTGTAATAAGTTTCTTTCTATTTATTTATTTATTTATTTCCTCTTCAGTCACTAAAGAAGCAGCAGCAGCTTGCAAGGAGCAGTTGTTGCCAGAGGGTGAATCATAGCTATATTGATTTGATTATGTAAAAGCTCAGAGGAATCTAAAGCCAGATACAGAAATATCTCATAGTCCAAACCCTGTGGGACACACACTAGTAAAAAAGCAATCTTTATATTGTTCCTGATAAAAGCATCATTAGTTTCCTCGCAGTGAAACCATTTCTCTGCTGATACAGTATATGGTTTTCCTTTTCACTAGAATCCACTCAGACATAATTAACACTCAGTTACGAGACTTCAGGTTTCCTCTGGAGTGTGCACTTTGAGGCTGTTGAGAGCGCGGGTGCACAGCCTGAGCACCTCTGAGTCGCTCGCTGGCCCCTCTGCAGAGCAGGGTCTGGCCTCCGGGGCGCGGGGTGCCCTGCACCCCAGGTTTGGCACCCTCGCTTGCACCCCAGTTTGGTGGGGCTGAGGAGGCCCAGCAGTGCTGCCAGTGCTCTGCCAGAAAACGTCTCTCACCCCGCTCCAGGCTTTTTACCACAACAAAGGTACAAAATCACACAGACACATGGACCTGCGCACAGAGACTCCTTCCCTGCTTTTCACAACAAAATGCTTCCATGTGTGATTTTCTGCAGAGCAGCTCCTCAGGGAAGCACTCTGCTGCCATAACTGGCTTGAAGGTGGGCTGGAAAAAGCAGGGGCAAAGAGTCTAAACTAAAACATCATGGAGAGATAAGGCTGCACATTTTTATTTAGCTTCTATTAATCACACAGCTAATATCTGGGCAGACTGAAACTGGGATAGGCAAATTCAGCAAATCCAGATCTTTCTATGTACTGTGAAGGAAGAATACAACCCATATTTTTTAAACCAATCCTGCAAGTTAATGTCTTCATTATAGAAGAAAGATGTATTGTAAGTCAATTTACTTCATTCACCTCTAGTTTTCTCTTTCTTACCAACTTCAGTCTTCTTTTGGCCCAACCAAAGGAAAATACCAATGAACTTTAACATCCCTTGTTTGAATCTGCAATGTGGGCCTTGGCTGTAAGATAATATAAAGTGTTACCATGATACTAAAGGTGATACGAGACAGATATGGCACAGCTATGCTTCTTGCTAAAATACTATGTGCTTCAGAGAGGAAACTTCATGTAGGTGAAAGAAGGGAAAGGACAGAAAGACTCATTTCAACGCTTGCACCTGTCTTCTCTTCAAATCAATGTGAAGACTCCTCAAGGAAACTTTAAGACATCTGGGAGTTTTGCTGACAACTCTGAAGGATTCATACACATACAATTTGAAAAAATGCCAGAAAACTCAAAATGTCTAAATGTGATGATTTTGGGGGATCATTTTACCTAGTTTCAAAAACCTTTAACCTTATTCCTGTATCACTAACATAAGAATGGTTTTGTCCCATACTCCTGAATTGCCAAACAATTGGGATTACTACAAACCAGACAATTATTCTCTTTTTTTTGTCTGTCTCTCTCTCAGAGCTCAATTCATGCCTTTTTCTTTCTCAGAGCTGTTCCAATCCTGGCTGGTGTGTACCCTGAACTCTTCATACAGCACCACATAGTTACATACAGGCTAAAGCACAACATTTAGAAGACTTGCAAAAATGCAGCCTGCTGAACACTTTCCATAACCAGCGCTTGAGAAGAAAGCCTGTTCGCATAAATTATTTATTCAGCCTACCATTTGCAGTGATTTTTCATTATCAACACAGGAATAATTCCAGTGGTTTCAGGTCTCTTCACCTGCTTCTGCAGTACCCACAAAGGCAGGGGTGTGACTGTATAGTACATCAAGTGTAGGATAGCAACCTGTCTGCCTGATTGATTTGTTCAAGTAAGATGGATTCCTGCTGTTCACAGCTATCTCTGTCTCCCATTGCAATGTGGTGCTGAATCCAGAGAGCGCCACAAAATACGGTCCTCAGCAGTGAGGGCTGAGACCACTTCAGGTCTCTGGGTTGAACCTGGTGCATAGTCCCTGGATGTCTTTTAGCACAAAAGTGAAAACAAATCTCATGAAAAGAGAGCTTCAGTTATTGGAGAAGCAAGTGATTCACCCATCTTTTACACATAAGCATAGGAAGTTGCTAATAAAATATTAAGTGCACTGTGATATGGTGTTTTTACTCTGAATTCTGTACACATTTACAGTTGAACCACATGAATTAAGAGTCTTGTTCTGACAAACCTGTGGTCTTTGGTGGTTTTAATTGTAACTTAAAAGAATACTTAACCTTTTGCATGACCTTCGCAATCTGAGTGATCCGCTAGCATGGCTTACAGCATTACAAGTCTGTTTAAACCATACACAGATATTTGTCCCTGCAGTTCTCAGCGTTCAAAACAGGTGAACCTGACGCCTCACTTGTGACCAGGAGAACTGCTCACACTTCATGGATGACATGTGATTTGAACTTATTTGTGATGAAGCAAAACCTAAGACTGCCTGGATCCACTCTCTCTCTCTCTGAAGTCCTCAAAAACTTTTACCCAAAGCAGCTGATATGTTCAAAAAAAAGGCACATGAGAAAATCTTGTGTGAGAAAGAGTAAAAAAACCCAAATTATATTTTAAGCAAATGCTGCAGTTTTGGAGTAGCTGACACACAATTTTATTTTTAATAGATTTACTGACTGAAATACTTTTTAATTAGAAATATTTTAATTAGAATTCACTTTCATAAATTATATACCAAAAAGATAGAGTTCATCTTAATTTATCAAAAAATATAAGCATTTCTGTTTTAGAGAGAACTTGCGCTTACCACTCACTGGAATTAAGTTATTATGATGATCTTTCTTGTCTGTAGCAATCTCAGTGTTTCTTCAGTACAAAAACCAGACATCAATGTAAGCATCAAAGAAAACCTAGGACCAAAACCATTGACAAAGGTGAAATTACAAGATGGCTAAATGTGAAACCTCATTTTGATAAGCCTTGCAACTGAAAATGTGGCAAACAGAATTGGTTAACTTCATATAACAACATCCCTATGTTTTGGTTTTTAGTCTACATCTATTCATCAAGAAACCCTTCTTGTACAAAAGGTGTTCTCATATTGAATAATACTCAGTTCATTGGGTTATTCTCTGCAAGAATTAATAAACCCCTGAAAAATTGCTGTGCACAACAGGTTTAATAGCTCTGTCCGGCTGCTTCCCAGTCTCTTCCTCTGGAAAATAAAGCAAACTCTATCTATAAATCATGGCCACTGAAACGAAGGCCAGTTGCACATCACAGAGAATGATTTTATAGGTGGAACGTGAGCTTGCTAATTTCTAGAATAAATTATTGTGCTTTATTGAAAGCAGTTTCATTTACACTTTTAGTCGCAAAGACTTAAAAACAAATTCACAAGCCCTGTTATAGGCTAATTTTAACATGTCTTTTTTTTCAGGCAGCTCTCAGTATAAAACATTTAGCTGACAATGTGCCAGGAAATCTGTTTCATTAATATAAACACCAATACACTCATTGTGAAGTTATCTCACTTATAATATCAATGATCTTTAATAGAGCTTTTTTATTACTGGGATAACATTTTTGTCTAACAAGTCTGGAGTCAATATTTAACAGATTTAGGTCAGATTTAGCAATAGAATTTTGCAAAAACCTGGGAAGACTGAATTCCTACTGAAAAGTCATAAAGTAGGGTTACAGATTACAAAATGAGCATTTTCATAAATATGCATGTCTCATAAATATTTGAGAAAAAAAATAAAATGAGATCCAATATCTAAATGATTGTCTAATTAATAATTCTTTTGAAAGGGTAGTCTTGAATATATATTAAACACATGAGAAGAAGGAGAAAAGAGAGAAAAAAGGAAACAAGGAAGAAGGGAAACAAACAAGAAAGGAAATGAGGAAATAACGAAAGGAAGGGAGGGATGGGGGGGAAGAGGAAAAGAGGAAAAGATGAAAAGAGGGAAGGAA